CTCAAAACTCTCTTCACTCACAAAACACTCCTCAAGGTTCAAATCCAAACTCTCAACCTCGACAAAACTCTAATTATAACTCTCGACCCCAATTTCACCGTAATCACCAAGACAATCAAGCTCTCGATCAACTCCCAAGTCAATCTCAAACCAGTAGTGTAAATTGGGAACAAACTCAGAGCCCAAATTTAATCTCATCCCCAAATTATTCGCCAAATTTAAACATTAATGGTTCTCGACTCATTCTCAATAATCTCAAGCCCGATCATTCTCTGTCTCTGCCTCGGTTTCTGCACCCTCCTCAAAATATTCTCAAATACTTTTAGCTACTGCGAGAGTTACTCTGTATACTAAACAAGGTGAACCTATAGAGGCTAGAGCTTTGCTGGACAATGGGTCTCAGAACTCATTTATTACTCAAAATTTACTTGATCAGCTCTCACTGAAACCCTATCATAGAGTTCTCAATATATCAGGAATAGCTCAGAATAATACACTGTCCAACAAAATGATTGATGTATTTTTGTACTCAAATGTCAATCCAGAAAAACGTTTCAGACTCTCCTGTGCTGTGTTAGACCATATTACTCATAGGCTACCTCAAGTGCCCATTAAAGTGGATAATCTAAAAATTCCAAGAGACATTTTAAATCAGCTTGCCGATCCTAAGTTCTATACACCTACTGACATTGACATACTTATCGGTGCAGATTTGTACTACAATTTACTCTCTCATGAGTTCCTAAATTTGGGCACAAATTACCCTACATTGTTGAATACACACTTGGGCTGGATAATAGCTGGAAATGTTCCATCTCAGTGTCTATCTTTTCATACTCAAAATAACTCGTTCTTCTCTTCATGTAATTTGTCTCAAGAAATTGAACCGTTCACAAATTCTCAACTCGATAATGCTTTGACAAAATTCTGGGACTTAGAAAAAGTCTCTGAAGATCCTGTCTGTTCCCCTGAAGATGTACAAGTAGAAGACATTTTCATCTCAACTACTAAGGTACTAGAAGATGGCTCTTACCAAGTGGATTTTCCTCTAAAATCTCAGAATGAGCATCAAAAATTGGGCGATTCTTTCATGATCGCTAAAAAAAGGTTCTTTGCACTTGAAAAGCGGTTTGAAAAAGATCCTAAGCTATTTTCTGATTACAAGCAATTTATACAAGAATATGTTTCTCTTGGCCACGCTCAATATGTTCCTCAAACTCAAAGAAATTCCCTAGATGAAAACAAATACTTTATTCCCCACCTATGTGTCATAAAAGAATCAAGTGTCACTACAAAGTTACGTGTAGTTTTCGATGCTTCGGCAAAGAGCTCTACAGGTTATGCCCTAAATGACATCACATTCAAAGGTTTCCAAGTACAACCCGATCTGTACGATATTTTAGCCCGATTTAGACTCTTTAGGTTTGCACTGGTGGCTGATGTGCAAAAAATGTACCGCCAGATAAAAATAAACCCCGATCATAGATTTCTTCAAAATATCTTATGGCGGGAGAGTCCTGATAACCCTTTAGCATGTATAGAATTATCGACAGTAACATATGGCACTAATTTCGCTCCCTACGTTGCAACACGTGCATTAAAACAAATTGCCGACCATTCTGATAAATACCCAAGAGCAAAAGATTCCATTTTGACACAATGTTATATGGACGATATTTTGACAGGTTGTGATAATTACAACGAATTGAAAGATCTTTATAATGAACTGAACTTCCTCTTGAACCCGTGTGGTTTTAGTTTACACAAATGGTGTTCAAATTCTAGAGACTTCTCAAACAAAATTTCACACGAAACAATTCACGAATATGACATGAATATTGATAAATCTCCTAACAAGATTTTAAGGTCTGAAATGGCACCCTATGGAAGATGTTTTTTGTATATCAACACCCGAAATTTTAGACGATAAGTTCCCAACTAAGCGAAAAATTCTTTCTTCAATTTCTCAGTGTTTTGATCCCTTGGGTTTAGTAAATCCAGTTATTGTTGAGGGAAAAATATTGATGCAAATAATCTGGTGCAAAAAACTTGATTGGGACACTATCATAACGGATGAGACTATTTTAGGAAAATGGACTTCATTTTTGAAAAGTGTAACTCTGTTAAAAAGTTTGAAAGTTCCTCGAAATATGTTCTCCCATAAAAAGATTGAATCTGTGGATATTCATGGATTCGCTGATGCTAGTTTAGCAGCATACGGTGCTTGTCTCTATCTCCGAACTGTCTACTCTGATCAGACTATTTCTTGTGACTTGATTTCATCAAAGTCCAGAGTCGCTCCGATTAAAAGCATTTCTCTACCAAGGCTCGAACTCTGTGCCATGGTTCTTTTAGCCGAACTCCTCCAAAATATTGATTTTGTTTTCAAAAAGAAAATAAGCCTCTCTAAAGTACATTTATGGTCCGATTCTCAAATTGCGCTTTCTTGGTGCAAAAGTCATGCCAGCAGATGGACTGTTTTTGTTTCTCATAGAGTGTCGCGAGTTCAAGAATTAACGTCAAACTGTCATTGGCGATATATAAAATCTTCAGAAAATCCCGCAGACATGTTGTCTCGAGGGTTATTCTCCCAAAAAGTTTTGGACTCTGGATTTTGGTTTCATGGCCCTAAATTTTTAAACAAATTTGATTTAAATTTATCTGATTACGACACACCTCAAAAATAAATAAATTTACCCGAACAACGAAAAGTGACATTAATAATGCAAAACCGCCTTGTAGGAAATAATCACTGCACTTTCGAAGAATCTGACACAATTATATGCCAAATTGAGGCAATTTTAAATTCTCGGCCTTTATGCGCTTATCTAGCGACCCTTCGGATTTCGAATCGCTAACCCCTGGACACTTTCTTATAGGCTCGGCACTGACTGCATATCCTGACAGAGACATCACTCATACTCCCGAAAATAGACTTTACTCCTGGAAAAAGTGCTCTCAGATTCAACAAAGGTTTTGGAAGCGCTGGAGCATTGAATATTTAAATAGCCTTCAAAATCGCCCCAAATGGCTCCAGCCCTCAAGAAATATATGTGAAAACGACCTCGTTCTTCTTAAGGAAGATAATATGCCTCCGCTCAAGTGGCCATTGGCCAGAGTCACTGAAACTGTCAAAGGCACAGATGGAAAAGTTAGAATTGTTAAGCTTAAAACATCTGATGGAAGTTTCACACGTTCAATAGCAAAGGTTTGTTCCTTACCAGAAAGTGTTAACTTATTGCCCCCACATAATAACCCTGAGTATTAGATATATTATAATCTTTTTTCCTCATTGTCTCAACTTCTTAATTCTTAAGTTTCTTAATGTATTTTTTTAATAACTCTTATAATTCTCCTCTTTTAATTTCTTGAAGTTGGAAACTTCAACCCGGGGCAGAATGTTGTGGAAACAGCCAAACAATCATATTTATTTTTTATGATCACAGTGGCAACGTTGCAAAAAAGCCTCCCGCCGTGAAAAACTTGCGAAATGGCGCCGTACCAGGCTGTACCGTATCGATCCAGTCTGGTTGTTTATCGCTAGGGGAAAAAATGCATTCCTTCTCTTTTTCACTTCGCAGTGTGATTTGTGATTTTAGTAGTGTGGTTTCACTAGCAGTAAATAGTGCGTAAAAACGTCTAGCTCTATACAAGTTTGAACCTGCTCACTTTTCTCTAATTATTTAATTATTCTCTCTAGTTGCACCCTTGTACAGTCTCTCTCTCTCGTTCTCTAAATAAAAGGACTTATTTTTTTATCTCTCTGGCTGCTGACTTGAAAACTCAAGTGATATAATATCGCGTAAAACATTGAGTTAATCACACTCCCCTTTTTTAAGGGCTCTCTAAAAATATAAAAAGTCTCAACTCCCGAATATTTCTAATTTCTATGAAGAATAAACTTTATCTTGTGCTCTCAATTAAAATATTAGCGTTCCGCTAATACTGACAATTATTGTTAAATTGACTATTGAGCACTTAGCAACTAGTGAATTTATACCGATTAGTGAATGTTCTCGAATAACTCAAATGCGACTTGTTAACTAACCTGTGAATAATTAAAAGTACTTGAATGTGGTTACAGTATTTATTACTTTATTATAAACGATTATTTTGGCAACAATAGAGAGATATAAAACTGGAAGTGTGAGTGCATTATTTAGCAGTGACATCCCCAACCCCTTTATGATCCAGTGATCTATCCCTAAATTAAATGTTGACACCTCAGTTAGAGGCCCTAACAAAATCTGTATTATGTGTGAAATTGTTGCATTTTGTGTCTTGTAAATAAAAACTAAATATTTTATGTTTTATTGATGAGGATTAATTTTCAATTTAGCATTGTTCTATACAAAACAAGTTTATGTATGCAAGTATAAATTTTTAATAAGAACTTCACAAAGGAAGGAAAAAGCAATTTCTTACAAGCGCCGCAACTAGGAGACTACAGGTTTTTTTTACCAATATAAAAACACTTTAGGCAACTTTTCTTTGATGTACAGGGTGTACAGCCTTTATCTTTAGACGTAAAAGAAAGGTGCAAATACAAAAGTTGTATGTACAGTTTTAGCTGGTCAGAAATGTGAAATTTAGCATTCTTTCAACTTGTTTCAAATAGGATGCCCTATATTTCATTCTATATTCTTGAAGAGCACAATGCCCCGATTTCAAAAATATATAGTTTGCCTATATTTGATTAAACAGTCTCTCATATATTCGGCTCCAGAAATTGCAAAAATACTATTCTACTAGGTACCTACTAAGATAGCTACATACCTTATGATTTGGTTTTCCGAAAACTTTTTTTCTATTATAGATAGAAAGCTGAAATTTTCAGTGATTCTTGTCCCTCTCCAAATCTCATAATAAATTAGTGTATAGAGTTTGAAGGGGTCTAGTATAGATAGAAAGCTGAAATTTTCAGCGATTCTTATCTCAGTATAGAGTCCGCTGGTAAAATGTGTGTCGTAACATCTAAAATTAGACTTTTTTTGTTGCAGATTCTACGAGGCAACAGCGATACAGCTTCTGTGGAAAGCCATAAATTGATGCCCACAATATTCGCTAGTAAAATTCGTCTGTTGCCCTATAGCATTCATAGGAGAACTGTTTGTCTAAGAATGGAACTCCTGGGATGTCCATACAAAGGTAATTTTAAGTTTTTACCTTTCAAGATTTCTTCTTACTATTTTTAAATGACATTTGAACTTTCCTAGAAAAAACAGAAATTTCTTATTCCAATGGCTGGTCTTTGTTATTCAAATTGGAATGTTTCTTAATGAAGGTAGCGATATTCTGCATATCTCAGTGTTATTTCGTTCACACAAAGGGCAATTTGGAACTCAAAGTCAATTAATCATAAGTCTATAGGATGGAGTGTTTTACGAAAAGAACCAAAACCAACCAGTTGAAAATTTCACTTCTACTTACGTAAAAAATTGACAATTGACCTCCTGCTACAAAGACAAATAAATATTAATCCTCGATAATAATAATAATAATAATAATAAATTATTTCAGATACCGACACGTCATATAAATCGAGAAGGAAGAAAATACAACTACTGCCTGTTACATTAATAAGCTACAGGGGTAGTCTCTGCCTTGCTTTATTAATAGACTCCGCTCTAGTGCCCCAGGGTTTAATTTAACTTGTCTTTGTAACTGAAGTAACAATTAATTATGCACAGTATCCGGCGCTGACTGAAAAAGACAATTTAAATATCAAAAGGTGCCAGGGCAAGATTCATTACTTAGAGTCTTGCACAGTTTTTCTTCAAGAGGAAATATTTTTGAAAAATCTAACAAAATTAATGAAAAAGTTCTCTCTATTACCGTTTAAGTTGTGCTAGAACTCCCTTAAAAGAGGGCACTCAAATCTTTATGAGACGTGCTCGCACAGATCAGAGTTTACACAAAAAAAAAAAAAAATTGTCTGGAAATTCTAGAATACCAGCTGTCACAAAATATTCCGTTTCAGTTTCCCAATTAAGCCTACTGAACAATTTCGTAGCGAGAAGACAATTTTGTTCCGTTAATCTCTATGGTTGTAAGTTGTAACCCCACTCTGCGTCAAAGATATTGACGCTACTCGCAATTTCCAAATTAATAGATTTGACTGTTGCTTTAACAAATGTGCCCTGGTGGCACAGTAATAAACTTCAAGCGAAACCGTATCGTCACTGTGATAATAGTGTAGGGTGGGATCTCAATTAATTCGAAATTTGTCTTCACAGATGTTTCAGTTGCCATATGCTTTATTAAGATTCTTTCATTTATGGTTACGATGGGTGCGAAAACTCCTCCAGTAATAACCGGGGAGTTTTTCTCGTGGATTTTCCGTGTTCGGTAGCATTCCGGGCGACGAGATTGCACTGCGGCTTGTATTTGATAAATCATAGTTGGCAGCAGCGGTCAATTGTTGCAGCCCGGACCGGGTCCGTATGGGCAGACGTGACATGAAACATAGGTGCGTGCTTCCTTCTACAGGGTGCTTAATTTTTATTGAAACACACAAATACACCAAAGTATCTTTAACTCAAACCATTATTTCTTTTTAGGAGGCATCATATCCTATAGTTCTCCAGTAAGCGACAATAACCAAGGTCTCTATGATAGTAGTTATGATGGACATAGATCACAAGGCATGTTGTTTAACGGACTAGGAAGATTGGTGGATGGAGAAGTTGGTTTGGATAATTTTAGATTAGACATTGGCTATGGAAAAGGAAATGGTTGGGTGTCTTGGAAGAACGATTCGTTCAATAACGGATATATGGAATTAATTTTCGAGTTTGATCAACTAAGAAATTTTTCGGCGCTGTATCTATATACCAACAATTTTTTTTCTCGAAATGTGCAGGTAATTATTTTTCTATATTACATTTATTCGAATAAACTATTGCAGAAACAGAAACCCGTTAATTTTGCACATAATTCATTGCCGCAAGAAGTTGGAAAGTTTTGCGAGGCAGAGCGCTATTTGTGTTTCAATTTCTTAAATTAGTCGAATAAGTTTTGAGAGGGAACCTGTAATGAATCGCGAAATTACTCCGACTGCATAGTTTCTGAGTTTACTAGGAATATACAAGAATTATTTTTGTTTTTTTTTTTAGGTTTTTGCAAAAGCTAAGCTTCTCTTCAGCGTAGGTGGAAAATTCTACAATGGTCCTACGTTGTCGTTCACCTACATGCCTGATAAAGTCCTGGAAAACGCCAGAAATGTGTCGATAAATTTACATCATCGGATGGCTCGGTTCATTAAAGTCAGACTATATTTCGCTGGTCAATATATTATGTTGAGTGAAGTCTTTTTTGATTCAGGTAATAATAATCTTAATATTAAAAGTTAAATAACTAGTTTTAAAAACAATTCTCAAAGGAGACGATTTGCATTTTTCCGCTGTAAGTTCTTTTTAAATTCAAAAACTTGTGTCCAAAGTTGGCCGGGTAGACCCTGCGAAAGAGAAAATATGATTTTCGTCTACGTGGTTTGCGTCAAAACGACTACGTCCCGAGTTTGCATGTAAAATAAATATAAATTTTAATAAAACGCCGGGAAATTTTCTCTTTTCTGCCATAATATCGCGGGGATAATATTCGTAAATATTTTTACACGGACTACGACCTTATTAGTGCGATGTTTTTTAGTTTGTAAATTTGGAACGTTGCTCTATCACACTTTTTATAAAAATGGGAAGCATGAACTTAGAGATGCGAAAACTGAAGGAGGATTCTCTATGGGGCGCCATATGTTCCATAATTATTTCGTCTTATATGTAAAATATTTTGCTGGAAAAACAATATATAGATAAAAATGACCACTATTTTGCATATATTTAAAATAAAAAATAATATTTATTTCGAATTTAGCAGCATGCAAAATTCAATATTTATAAAACTTGAAAAAATATTATATATATCGAATTTGGCACCGTGCAAAGTTCGATATACATAAAACTTTGAAAAAATATATATATTGAATTTGACCCATGCAAAATTCAATATTTATAAAATATGAAAAAATATAATATATGTATATTGAATTTGGCATTGTGCAAAGTTCGATATAAAACTTTTTAGTTTGAAAAGTCCCCGAGAGATGGCGCTACCTTTGATCATAATTTTTGGTTGTTGATGGTGTGTTGGATTGAAATAAGGTATTTTGGACGGCCGTTGATTTGTAATTTAAATAGCTGCAATTAGGGTGCATTGATAATTGCGTGATGATAATTATGTATTGTCATAAGCGCGGCAACGGCAACACTGGTGAATGATAACTGAGGTTGTGTTGTGTTCCTTTCGTTCCGTTTGAGTGCCCGCCGCGCTCGCGTACCGCCTAAAGTTTGTTTTTTATTTAAAGATAGCGCCTTTGTTCAGTTTCGTCTACGCGAAAGTTAAATTGGGTTTGTTTCTGTTATTCTAATTGAATTGCGCGTTATATGCCTAAGATTTAATACGGCTTTGCTAAGTTTGGCTTTTAAAAATGCGCGCGTTAAACACTGAAAAGGATACCAGCAAAGTCCATACATTGCCGACCAGTAAATCAGTCGCCAAAAACACTCCGTTCGTTTCGTGTGGATCGAGAAAATAAACCTGCGGTTTTTCGTTTGCCGCGACCGGTTAAATTAAGACAGTTTCGTTTGCACTCCTTCGCATTGGACTTGAACTTCCTCAAGAGTTGGCCAACTGAGTGGAGTTTGGAAGTAAAACCAGGTAAGGTGAAAAAATATCCTTTTCAGTTTCGATATCTTTCAATTTCAATTTAAAATCCTTCATCGATTACCATTCTATCAGCAACCTGTAAATTTTCCAGTTTTAAATTCGCACAGCCTTTTTTCATAGAATTCTGCTTCAAAACTCAAAATAATTTAGAGTTTGGGGAGTCTCAAATAATCATTTAGATACAAAATCCCAACATAAAAAAAAATTGAAAGTTCTACTGTTACCACCGCCACCTGGTTGTGACGCGACACGACTTTCTCCCACTGAAAATCTAGGTAACTTTGAGCGGATACTTTTTAGTAATCTGATTAGATCGCTTCTTCCAGTGCGGGTTCTTGCTACCTGAGCTGTACGCAGTTACTTGGAATGCTAGCTCGGGGTTTTCCATAGGGGATAAAAGAATCAGTTTTTCTTACTCAACTCCAACAATGTTTTATTGAACAAATGGTAAATCTTGGTAAGGAAATGAAAGAAAAGTAAAGGATATACAGTAAGTTATTAACAATGTTTACTGAAATGAAATGAAAGAAAATACATATGGAGATTTAGAATGATAGGGAGTGAAATCAATGAATGAGCGTCCTGTATAAGGTGTTCCTTGATGGTACAAGTTACATGAGAATTTAAGATTGAAAAATACAGAAAATTAGGACTAAGTTATAATTCTTAGTGGGTAATAGTCACGGGCGTCCTCGACAAGGGAATGACAAAACGGCCATGTTGGAAAAAAGATGTGTGTTGGAGCTGTCACAAATACTGGTAAATAGTATTTCAAATACCAAGTATCAATTACGGGAAATTCATGTTGCAAGTACAAATATAGTATTTTTAATACCTATTTAGAAATACCAGTCGTTCTAGTGACAAAACGTATGTCGTTTCTTGACACACAAATAAAATTAGGTTAGGAATTTCCTATTTGTACATGAAATTGACGTATTAGCAATCGACGTTAGTTTTTGTTGGTAATTTTTTGTTTCATTTAGTTCCTAATTGATAAATAAGGATGGAGTTATTCTAAATGGGTATTACAAAATAATACTATACTAAATACTTCCAATTTGCAAAGTACTTCAAGTTTCAAATATAAAAATTTAGTACTTGATTTTTTCAAATAAAATAATTCAAATACTCTGTAAGTATTTCAAGTAATTGTTACGTACAAATTTTGCCTTAGTGCGTAATTGGAGATTTCAAATAAATTCAGGTACTTGTAAGGGTATTTATGAAGCTTTATACCTGAGGATTAATATTTCTGCCTTTTTGTTTGAATGCGAAACAATATGTGGGTGTTGAACTAGGGTATATTTTTCGAGGTAATACTGAGTTAATTCTTTGTTTTCAGATCACAGGGTAGTTTTAGGATAATGAAGCCCTACTAATAGGATCAAAATCTATTTTATTTAGCTTACGAACGTTGTCTAAAAAGCCCTAACTGTTGATGAAAATGTTTGTTCACTTCCGAATAAGTATCAATTGGCAACACTTACGAGTCTCGTATTTTCCATTATTAAAAATTCTGCAACACCACAAATCACTTCCACACCCTTTAAATCGCCTTTTCACCCTTATTTGCACTAATATTTACATTTTCCCGGTTATTTATTTTCACCAAATAAGTGTGGTCATGGGACACTTGTTGATCTGTTTCAGGCAGCGCTGTTGCCGAGGTTTCTTGACCACTGTGGGTAATAGAGTCACTGTAGTTGCTACCACTGAACGAGTGGTCATTTTGATAGTTTTTATACTAAGGAATGAGTAGATGATGATTATTAATTAGTGTTAGGGGTGAAAATTGGATCACAATTTTGAGTTTTGTTTGTCATCGATGTGGTTTGGGTTGTTTGTTTCAAGCTGATTGTCTTATTTTCCTGGTCAAGACCTGAGATATGTCACCAGAGGGCATCTTGAAAAAAATAGAATTCTGGTAAATTTCTTATATGAGCCCAGCTGGTAAATGGCTAAAATAGGGTCGTTCTTTTTGAATTCGCACGTTGAGCAAGGAACAAGTTGTTTGAAAGATTTTATCAGCGGTCCTCTTTCTGCGTTCCTTGAAACATCCACCTTTTGTGGGATTTTAGACGCGTTGGGAACTCAAGTGGTTGCTGGCTTAATTGGTTTTGGAGTGAAAACTTGGATTTGGTCGTAAGTCCTCGTATTTGTAAGCCAACCACTCAGAATTTTCTGGAGACGAAAATCTACGCCATTTTGTATGATTTGTCGTGTGAACAGAGAGCACGTTTTGTTCAACTAAGAGCCCGAATTATAACCAGGGTTTTTAGATTTTACTTTACCATTGGGTTCTTTTCGATGGTTTGCTAGTTTCGAAGTTGGTGTGTCAGAGTACACACAACACTGAACTTGGACCCGGAAGTTACCATATTTAAGAAGGGAAGTCAAAAGAAGTTGATGGGTCTGTTATTAGGGCTGTGAAGCTGTCATGAGACAGTAATAGAAATTGATAATGGGTATTCAGACTGCATGGAGGACCACAAAGGGGTGATGTAAATGATGTAAATGATGTAAATTTATTAACGTTTCTTAATAATTATCCTTTTTTTATTATTATTAATGGTATTTCTTATATTTAACTTGGTACATTTCCAAGTTTGTTTTACTGCCTTAATTATTACAATGGGAGTACTGTACCTAGGCCTATTAGGGTTTATTTATTCAAATTTAGTTTTCAAACAGTTTAAGGGTTAATTTTTGAGCGACTTACTTAACTAAATAGTTGAAATAACTATGTGTATTTAAAATATTAAGAAGTACTTAAGGTACCCACTAAAAAAAAATTCAAATTATTAAATGGTTTTTTTTAAATTTTATTGGAAGCTGAAAATACTTATAATACCTCTAAAAAAGTACTACAGAGATCCCAGATTTCAGATTCTAAGATTCTAGTTGCAGATTGTAGATACTTTCAATTTAAAGATTTGAAATTTATATAAAAAAGGTTGATTAAGAAATAAAGTGCAGTGGGATTCACAGTGGGATTGTTTTAAGATAGGTACCTATTTATTCAGAAAAATAAACTTTTACAAAAAAATTTGAAGTAGGTATTTTGAGTACAAATGCCTAGTATTTGAATTATTTTTTTAAAAAATCCAAGTACCAAATACAAATACTTTATTTAAAGTATTTGCAAAATCAAGTGCAAATATCCAAAAATGAAAGTATTTAAATTATAGTACTTCAAATACTGAAAAGTAATTGAAATACATTTTCCAAGTAATTTACTTGAAGTACTGACAGCTCTGAGGGCGGGTATTATAAAACTACTTTGGGAGTTAACTTAAAGTTAACTTCTGGAATTTCATGTAATTCAGAAAGTTAACTTCAAGTTAACTGTCAAGGCAGTTTTACAATACCCACCCTGATTGTTGTGAAGCTAACCCAATGGTTTTGTTCTTTACACAAAGAAGAAAATAAATAATAGACAGAAAACAATAATCATGATGAATAGATAAATTAAAGTACTTGAGATTGAAACATTACCTAAGGTCTCAGAAAGAGAGTCAGCAGAAAGACGTAAACACTAAACACCAGAACTTCGTTACAGAACTGAATGAATCTAAGGATACAGGCTTATTTATATT